CAGTGACCCCAGTGTTAATTAGAAAGGAGGGGGCTTACCTGCCACCACAGCAGTTCTCCAAGGCTCTGTCCTGTGATGTAAGCCTGTGGGGTCCTGTCGGGGCCTGGGCAGCTTCAGTCTTCAGTGGCCAGTCCCAGGGAATCTGGGAGCTCCAAACAGGCTCCAGAGGGAGGCCATGCTGAGGTCCGACCTGGAGGGGCCAGACTACAGTTTGATTTCCAGTGGCCTTCCCTCCTGCACCTTGGGCAGGACCCAGACGAAGGTCTCCAGTTTAGGAAGGACTTGGCCCAGTGTCCTCTCTTGTTGCATTTGAAGCAGGGCCCGGAGGAGGACTAGCCCTGATTCACTCTTGCTTGGAGGACCGGCACTCATGAGAGTGGTGGCTAGGAGCTGGAAGTCCTTCGTCTAGGCTTCAGCCTTGGCCTGATCTCATCTTTTGCTTTTGAATTTGGGTCTCCTTGTCTCTGTTATTAAAGACCCCAAATGTCATGTTTAAAAGGTCTCGTTCGGCCGAAACCGGTTTGGCTCAGGGGTAGAGTGTCGGTCTACAGACTGAAAGGTTCCAGGTTCGATTCCGGACAGGGGCATGTACTTTGGTTGCGGGTACATCTTCAGTAGGGGGTGTGCAAGAGGCAGCTGGTCGGTGTTTCTCTCTCATCGACGTTTCTAGCTCTCTATCTCTCTCCCTTCTTCTCTGTAAAAAATCAATAAGATATATTAAAAGGTCTCGTTCAGGGGTTTGTCCCCTCTGGGCTGGTTGGGGCAAGACTGGTGTATTTTCTCAGCCTGTGTAAGGCGAGATTGGAAGACTGCTGGATTTTCATGACTTTCCTGGGTGACCTGCTAATTTTTTATATAATTAACTGCTTTGTGGGCTGCGTTTCCCAGTCCTTCTAGGCAGAGAACGGTGTGGTCTTGAGACCTGCGACCTGCCTGCCCTTCTTGATAGTCCCACTTTGGGTCCCTTTTAGGGACACACCCGCTCTGACTGGGAGGGCAGGGGCCTGCTGGCCCAGGGTATCTACGTGGCCCTGGGCATGAAGCCAGATTGGCACCAGCAATCTCTCCGAGGGGCACTTTAAGGCTAGTGCAGGAATCGGGAGGAAGAGAGCCGAAAGCTGCTCCGGAGGGGTGTGAGATGGGGTGGTGGTGGTGGGATCCGCTGGGGAGGGCAGTGGGCTCTCAGGCTGCCTGAGGAGTCTTAGCTGGGGTCGGGGGGATGGTCGGTGAGATCAGAGTGGTGAAGGAGGAGGAGGATTTGGGATCCTCTGAGGGCTCAGTGGAAAAGAAAAAGCTGTGAGGGGGAGCAGCTGTCACAGAGAGAAGGATGTGAGTGTGAAAAAGCCTGGACATACAGGCCCTCAGACCACTTGCCTGCCTGTGGGGACTGTCAGGTCGGTTGGGTTTGGAGGTTGAAAGCGGTTACTGAGGCCAGAAGTTCTGAGCGAACTCCAGGGTCTGAGGCTTTCAGGGAGACAGCCCGGGTGGCGCGGGGTGCTTGGCTGCCAGTTCCCCATGGCGACTGGAAGTGGCTTAAGGTCTGCTTCCTGTGAAGTTATGGCCGAGAAAAGCACCCCTGTCTCCCCCTAATGTTCACCAAAACGAATGGAGCCCCCCTCCACGACAGGTGTCCCCGTCAGGAGAGGGGGCGAGGGAACCTGGTCCTCGGGACTTGCCCTGACCAGCACTGGATTTCCATGAGGCCTACTGAACAGTATCAGCCAAGAGCCTGGCTCCAAACCCAAATGACAGGTCAATCCCGACAGGAAAACAGACTGAAGCCACTTACCCTTACATGTGTGTCGGGTGTTGATGCGGGAGGAGGCAAGACAAGGAGAGGTCTACTCTCTAGTCATGAGCACCACCCAGACCTCTCTGGAATATGACTTGTCCTTAAAACAAAAAGAATGAAATCTTACCATTTGTGGCAGCATGGATGGACCCAGAGAGTATTATGTTAAATAAAATAAGCCAGTCAGAAAAAGACAAATACCATGTAATTTCACCTATATGTGAAATCTGAAGAACAGAATAAATGAACAAACAAAACAAAAACAGACGCATAGACACGGAGACCCACCATGGTTGCCAGAGGGGAGATGGGCTGGGGGCTGGGTGAAAAGGTGAAGGGGTCAGGAAGTACAAGTTGGTATGTACAGAGCAGTCCTGGGGGTGTAAAGATAGCACAGGGAATATAGTCAACAACATGTGATAGCTGTGTCCGATGCCAGGAAGGGTCCAGGAAATATCAAGCGGCCACTTTGTAAAATAGTGATTGTCTAACCACTACGCTGTACCTGAAATAATACAAAATAATACCGTAAATGTAAACTGTAATTGAAAAATGAAATTTAGGTTAAAAATTGCCTGGAGGACCGAATAGGTATTTTTTCAAAGAAGTCATACAAATAGTCCACAAGAACATGACAAGATGCTTAACATCACTCATCAATCAAAGCCACAATGAATTATCACCTCACACCTATTCAATGCTTATCATCAAAATGCAAAAGCTATGTTCTCTTGGCAAGAATGTGAAGAAAAGAGAACCTTTTATAGGGTGGTACCTGACCTATGGACAACAGAATGGAACTTCTGAAAAAATTAAAAATAGGCTATGAGATGATCCAACAATCCTCCTCTGGTCTATAGCCAAAGGAAAGGAAAACAGGATCTCAGAAACATCTAAACACATCATTTATGTAGAATCTACAAAAACCAAACTCGGAGAAACAGACACTAGAGCAGTGGTTACCAGGCCTGGGGGGAAACAGATGTTGGTTAAAGGGCACAAACTCCCAGTTACAAGATCAAAACGTCCCAGGGATCTAATGTATGTGGCTGTAATGTTCCTATCCTATCTAATAAAGAGGGAATATGCTAATTGACCCTCATACTCTCACAAAGATGGCGGCACCCACAGCCAATAAAGATGGAATATGTTAATTGACTATCATACCCTCAAAGATGATGGTGCCCACAGCCACAAGATGGTGGCACCTAGTTCCCTCAGCTCTGCCAGCCACCCAGGGCCTGCCTCCAGAGACCCCCGTCCCCTAAGCCCTCCAGCCACCCAGGGCCAGCCCAAGGCACAGGCAAGCCTTGGATGGGGGCTGCCCAGCCTCCCAAAGCTGCTCGAGGCTCAGGTAACCAGGGCTGCCGAGGCTTGTGCTGCCGGCAGTGGCAGCAGCCGATGTGTGAGGGGGCATCGCTTTCCCCTGGTCGCTGGGTCACCTCCCGCCCCTGAGGACTCCTGGACTGTGAGCGGGGGCAGGGGTACCTCCCCTCCAGTGCATGAATTTTCATGCATCAGGCCTCTAGTAGTTAATAATAGGTATTATGTACTTTAAAGTTGCTAAAAGAGTACATCTTAATTATTCTCTCTACAAAAACAGAGATGGTAATTTTGTTACATGATGAACATGTTAGATAAGGCTACCATGCAAATCATTTTTCAATACATGTGTATAATATCACCATGTCATACACCTAACATTATACAATGTTATATGTCAATTATATCCCAACTAGAGGCCTGTGCAGGCTGGGCTGAGGGACACATGGTGTGTGTGTGGGGGGGGGGCACAGGTCCCTCATCCCAGCCTGCACCCTCTCCAATCTGGGATCCCTCTCACAATCCAGAACTGCTGGCTCCCAACTGCTTGCCTGCCTGCCTTCCTGATTGCCCCTAACCACTTCTGCCTGCCAGCCTGATCACCCCCTAACCACTCCCCTGCCAGCCCGATTGATACATAACTGCCCCCATGCCAGCCTGCTTGCCCCTAACTGCTCTACCCTGTGGGTCTGGTTCCCACCCAACTGCCCTCCCCTGCAGGCCTGGTCACCCCCTACTTCCCTCCTCTGCCAGTCTGATCATCCCTAACTGCTCTCTCCTATGGCTTGATTGACCCAAACTGCCATCCCTTGCAGGCCTGGTCCCTCCCAACTGCCCTCCCCTGCTGGCCATTTTGTGGTGGCCATCTTGTGTCCACATGGGGGCAGGATCTTTGATCACATGGGGCAGCCATCTTGTGTGCTGGAGTGATGGTCAATCCGCATATTACTATTTTATTAGATAGGATAGAGGCCTGGTGCATGGGTGGGGGCCTGGAGGGTGTCCCAGATCAGGGTGGGGGTTCCCTTGGTGTGTGGGGTGGCCTGGGCGAGGGGCCTGTGGTGGTTTGCAGGCCAGCCACACCCTCTGGTGACCCAAGTGGAGGCCCTGGTATCTGGGGTTTATTTATCTTCTATAATTGAAACTTTGTAGCCTGGAGCAGAGCCAAGCTTCCTGCTTGCTCCAAGACTGCAGCCATTTCTATTGGAATTTGTTTACCTTCTATAATTGAAACTTTGTAGCACTGAGTGGAGCCCTAGGCTGGCAAGGGCAGGCGGAAAGCTTGACTTCCTCCATTGCCAGGGAAAATGGCTGCAGCCATCTTGGTTGAGTTTGTTAGCATATTTGCTTCTGATTGGCTGGCAGGCGTGGCTAGTGGGTGTGGTGAAGGTATGGTCAATTTGCATATTTCTCTTTTATTGGATAGGATAAACCTGGAACAACATTTTAAGAAATAAAACCTATCCTTGAGTGTTATTTGTAAGGCTATGAAAAAGGGGCATCGGAAATATCTGGTGCTCTGAATAGGTAATAAGATCTAACCTCCACTTTACTTCCTTTTGGCCATGTGACCTGGGACTGATGGTCAGTAAAACTGGCCAACCTGCTTATCAATCATTTACTAGTAACAAGTGAAGCCTGCACTGAATCACTTTTGAGCTGGTCTCTCTGACACTGTGCACCCAGAGCCTTTATTTCTGCACATTGTGTACATTTCAACCCCATGTCTAAGCATGGGAGTTCTCTACCCCTTCCCTTCTAGGGAAATGGATAAACAGAATTATGGGAACATTAGAAGGGTCTTGAAATAAAATTTAAGAGTAATATCAATTGCTTTGTCTTAGGAGCAAAATGTTTTATTGCCTTTGTTCATTTTCTATTACAGACCTCACATTCCAGTCAGCAAATTAGTGGTTTCAGAATCCTATGACACTTACATCAGCAGAAGTTTCCAAGTAACAAAAGAAATAATAAGTGAATGTAAAAGTAAAGGTAAGTGATGCTATTTTGGACGCCATATTTAAACATGTGACCGTTTCTCCATCATGGTTAATAGGCTAGTCAAGATGTTTTAACTTGCTTAATAAATATTTCCAGACTCTTGTGTATGTAACATTTCATGTTATGTTTGTAGCATTCCCTTGAATACTTGAAATGGTAAGCATTCCATGGGAATGCACAAGACTCAGTTTTAATATGAAGTAACTTAGATATTTCTTGCACTCTGTGATGGAGGAGTTCCCCAGTACAGTTTCTAGAAGTTCTTTAGCAAACCACTGTTTTTCCTGTAATTTGACCTGGGTGGGTAAAAACCCCACACAAATATCCCTATGCCAATGCACATCCCATCACTGCTGCCCCCAGCCAAGGAGTGTTCTGTTAGACTCAAATCTATTTGCTATTGAATTTTATAAATACTGAACTCAAATATTTAATGATATGTAAAAATTGTTCACTATAAAATGTTTAGTCAAAATAAGCAGGTTACACAAGAGTATATACATTCTCATCGCTTTTTTCAAGCTAAAATACGAAACTTTACAGAGCAAAGACTGGAATTATACACACCAAAATGTTAACAAGGGATATCCCTCGCCAACAGAATTATGAGTGATTCCCCCTTTCAGTTTTCGCTCACCTCATTCCCACTAAGAGACTCAGCATGTTCTCAGCCAGAAGGTCTCAGTGTGGCCACCTGGAAAACACACTCACAGTATTTAATGAAACCACTGGGTCGGGGTGGGCGGCGGGGGCTGTATGTTCCGTTGCGCGTGATGGAACTGGGCCCACCTGGTGTGACTAAGTGAGCGATGTGCATTGGGCCATGTGCATTTCCTGGCCGGGAAAGTGGAGCAGTCAGGCAAGAAGCTGCCGGTGGAGGGTGCATGGACTCCACTGCCTATGTGCACGCGTCCGCGTGTAGCATACATAGTCTATATACGTACCACACAATATGTAAATATATGTTAGTGTGCACATACTTAGGTATAACATGATGCCTATGTCATGAAAAGTTCACCCTTGAATAACGCAGGGTTAGGGTCGGGGGGTCCCCCAAAGCTTTACTAATTGCCACTGTTGACTGGAAGCCTTACTGAGCCTTTGGGTAACACATACTTTGTTTGTTTATGTATGAATACTATTCTTACAGTAAAGTGAGCTACGAAAAAAGAATGTTACTAAGAACATCATGAGGAAGAGAAAATACATGCACAGCATCTAATGAAAAACCTGCACATAAGTGGATCTGCACAATTCAAACCCATGTTGTGTAAAGGTTATTTGATGTGTGTGTGTAAACTACATCTGTAACCTCCTATGAATCTATAGTTATTTCACGATTAAAGTGTCTATAAAATGATACTAGGTTGCCTTCACAAGACTAAGTATTCCTTAAATATTGCTTGGCCAAGTTGTGTCCCGGAGAATGCCTGCCCCTGCCCAGGCTTGGCTTCCAGTGTCCACAATGTTTGCGTGTGTCTTGATAAAAATGGTCTTCCCAGTTCTTGCTTTCCCCTCAGGAAATAACATCTTGATTGTGGCCCATGCATCTTCTCTGGAAGCATGTACCTGCCAGCTTCAGGGCCTGTCTCCTCAGAACTCCAAGGACTTCGTACAAATGGTCCGAAAGGTAATCCATGCTTGCGTTTCAGGGCCCGTGGCCCCAGTGATGTTAGAGCCGTTCAGTGACTGCCAGCAGCGGAGCTTTCTGAGCTGGGAGATGCATTTATTGACGCTCTCACCAAGATTACTGAGTGGTGGTAGCCTGTGTAAGGTACTTTAGTGGGTCTTGTGTGTGAGAGAACTGTTTGACCTAGTTCTAGTTTCTGAGCTAAAATGTAGGACGTAGCTAAGTCTAAGCAGACTGTCTGGCATTCCCTGAGGGGCTGTGGGTGGAAGGAAGAATGGTGAGTGAGCCAGTAGCATCTGCCAGCTTGGCTGAGAGGGCCTGGCTGGGAGGCTATGGGCAGCAGTGATTTAAACTGTCAGGCTGAAGGCGAGCCCACGAGAGGGCAGGGAGACAGAGCCCAGGAGGGTGGCCGACTCCTCCTTTTCATGCCATCAGCCCCCTTTGCCCCTGTTTCCTTCCAGGACACTCAGCTGTCCCCTCTGTGTGACTCCAGAGAACCTGGTTCAAGCTCCATTGCAATTCTTTTCTCGTGTTTTTAAAAGCTTATTTATGCATCTGCCCTTCCCATTGCTCTGTAAGCGGTTTGAGGGCGGAGATTTTTGTCTTGTTTATAGTGCAACTCTAGACACACACACACACAAATAAGCTTCTAAAAGCCATAAGCCCTGCAGTGAGGAAGGACCAGCTCCACCTCTGAATGTTGCAGATACACATGGAAATAAATAAATAAAGCCAGATGAGACAAACAAACAGCTTTTCAAAAATTGAATAATTTTCCTATTGTCTAACTATAATTTCAGACATGTTTAAGCTTCGTTTTTAGCTTGACTTGCAATTATGAAATAGGAATTGCCTGGCCTGCATGGCTCAGTCAGTGGTTGAGCATCATCCCCTGCACCAAGAGGTCATCAGTTTGATTCCGGATCACAGCACTTGCCCGGGTTGCGGGCTTGATCCCCTTTGGGGCGTGCAGGAGGCAGCCATAGATGTTTCTCTCTCTCACCCTTCCTACCTCTCTAAAAACCGATAAAAACATTTCTTAAATTAGGAATTAACTCCCAGCACCTCAGCTTCATGCGTTGTCCTCTTTCCTGCCCCCACAGGGCAGCCTGCAGTGGACAGTTCCTCGCACTGGAGGAACTCACATCTAATGAGCCTTCCGATGGGTCCTTTTGCAGGGTGACTGCTCTTCCCTCAAGCCTACCAGCTTTTCCCTTTTCATTTTCCTTCTGGGTTTGGGGGGATGCTTGTCTACAAAGCCCCTGTCAATTCCTCTGAATATTTATTTCAAGGGCCACCTGAGGTACTCTGTTTAGGTAAAAGTTGCAGCATTAAAGCTATTTCCTGTCCTTTATACTCTTCCTTCAGATTCCGTACTTGGGGTTTTGCTCCTGTGAAGAACTGGGAGAAACTGGAATCTGGCAGCTGAGGGATCCACCCATCCTTCCTCTCACCCATGGACCCACTGGGGGCTTCAACTGGAGAGAGACCTTGCTACAAGAATGAGCCACATCTGCGGAGGGAAACAGGCTTTGGGAAGCCCTGGGGAGATGTATTTTCCGTGTGTTTAGTAACAGTGAAGACGTCTGCACCACGCTATCAGCAACAGCGCAGAATAACTTAGCCCACTCCCTCTCATGCTTTAAGATGCCCGTGACGGAGACTGTGCATAGGAAAAAACTTGGCTGAGACATAAAGCTCATTCTCTCTGGACTCCTTTTTTGGTTAGCAAGGCTTTCGGGACTTGTCTTCCTACGTCGAGGCACCTGCTACTGCAGAGGCTGTAGCCTTCCTTCCTCCATGGCCCAGACCGCCGCCCCGCAGGCTCCCGGAGGGAGGAGCCGGCATGGAGGGGCTGCCGGAGGAGGGAGCACATCCAGCACCAGCTGGAGGGACCTGAGCTGCCAGCGTGGTGGTGGGAGGTCCTCTTAACTCCACGTTCCTGGGAGGCAGCGCCACGCTGAAGGCTTCTTCTCAGGTTATCAGCAGATGGGCCCTGCAAAGAGCTGTTTGAGCTTACACTCCGACGTCGGCCGTCGAGATGGCCACCAGGGCCGCCAGCTCCCACGCTTCCCAGAGGGTGGCAGGGACCCGGCTCAAGCGCCCCGAGCCCCGGCCACGCTCTGTGCAGAGCCACGCTCTGTGAAAGGGCAGGCAAAGCACTTTTGCTCTCTGAAGCACTTGTGGACACTCAGGAGGAATAAGATAAGGTGTGAAGTAGTCAGGTGTAGGAACAAAGAACTGAAAACCACGAAGTGGCTGACGGGTCCGTGTTGCCACCGAGGAGCCTAGCGCTTCTGATCGCCAAGCTGCTCCTCCTTGGCCCCTGAGTCTGTGAAGGAGGCTGGCGCTCTAAAAGGCTGTGTGACATACATTATTTGAGTGAGGAAAAAGCTCATTCTTGTGCAATATGCCCACGAGCAGGGTGTCGTCCACTCAGATGCAGTTCACATCAGTCATACCAGGCCAGCTGAGAGGCACCAGCCACACGAGGGATGTGCAAACCAAGTCAGGGACCTAGTTGAAGTGGTGCCAGTTATGCTTGCACTGCTACCTGAGCTGTCATTTTTGTTTGCTTTTCTAGGATAATTTTAAATATGTAGACAGGGCTACTTAGATGCAGTTAGGAGAACCACACCTTGTGGCTTTGCTTCAGACTTGCTGGATTTAGAGGGAGTTTACACACACACACACACACACACACACACACACACACACACACACACACAAAAAAAGACAATCAAGCCAAAACATCAGTTATCAGAGTCTGTTCAGTTGTGTGGCTCGCTGAGGGCTGCGGGCAGCAGACGGTGGCCAGGTGGGTGCAGCTCACTGTGTGAGGATGGGAGCCACCCAAAGGGACATCAGTGCAAACGGAATCAGTAGCTCCTGCAGCACTGAGGACGCTCCCAAGCCCAGGTGCATGACGCCTGGTGTATAAAACAGGTCCATGAGCCGTTTGACCCGGGAATTTGATGATCCTGGAAACAAAGAGGGAATGTGTGCTGATCAACCAGAGGATTAGAGAGGGGTTTTACAGTCACTTAAAGAAATGTGTCATGAATTTTACATTTTAAGAAGCAAATCTTGATTTCTAGCATTGTGCAGACAGCTTCTGAATATGAAAGTAACTCTATGCTGACCCCAGTGGTTAATATGAATGTTTTAATCTTCAAATGGTGACACACTCACTAAAGGGTTATTTTTTTATCCTCGCTCTAGGATAGCTGCCATTCATTTTTCTTTTCTTTTTTTTAAATATGCTTTTATTGATTTTAGAGAGATAAAGGGAGAGAGAGAAAAAATATCAACGAGAAACATCAACATGGAACTGCTGCCCCCAGCACCCACCCCTAGTATGCCCCCTACTGGGGATGGAGCCTACACCCTGGCATGTGCCCTGACCAGGAATCAAATGGAACCGCTGGCCTCTTGGTGCCTGGTCGACACTTAGCCATGGAGCTGCATTGGCCGGCCACGCATTCCTTTATCCATAAGGTCGTGAGCCACTGCTCTGTCAGACTTGCTGGCACATTGTGCGTTAGGCGCCGCACACATTCCATGGCCTCAGCGCCCAGGACATCACCTGAACTCCGCCGCGCAGGTTCCTGGACAATGGCAGCACGTTCTGGGCTGTGTCTGCACCCACACAGAACCACGTTCCAAACGGGCTCTCCTCCCCTGCCCGCTGGTGGCATTAGTCCCAGGATGCACTGCAATCCATTGCCTCTGGTCCAGTGTGCACAGAGCCTTGAGCGAAAAGGGGGAAGAGACTGGAGTCATTTTCTGAATAATTCAGGTGGGAAACACTGTGTAAACAAAAAGTTCATTCCTCTGCTTTAATTATCCAGATTGTTTTTTCAAAACGGCCTGAAAATCTGAATTCACATTGAATTCTCTTTTCACACTTATCTATTTAAGCAACCAAACTTAAACTCCAAATGAGAAATTCTTTGGAAATCATGTTGAATGTATGTGTATTAAAAGAAACATGATTTCATATTCATCCCAAAATTCTGGGTTAATATTACAACAGGCTGGTTATTTTTTATCTCAGCTGATGCTCCTTAAGAACAAATGTTGATGGAGGGGGTTGGGGGCCAGGAGAAGAAGGGAGAGGGAATGCAGATAAAAACCCAATGGCCCTTGCAGAAGGAATTGTTTCTTTCCATGTAGAAAGTTACTGGAGACAAACAGGTGAATTAACTAAAGCATTTGATCTAGGCTTGAAAGTCTGCAGCATTTTGCTCTAGTAACACCCCAGGATCATGCATGAGTGGCTCTTGGTTTCCGTGACTTAAAAGCTACATCTCTCCTGGTGGGCTGGAGTGATTTAATGCAGAAGCTGAGTTTCATTTCCTGATGGTTGGTAGCCAGGGCCTTACAGCTTCACCCTAGCCTGCAGTTCCTGACATGTGTTTCCATGACATCCAGTTCATAGACTCTGATGGCTGATTAAATGGCCACCGTGGCTGAAGAGGGAGGTATTTTCACCCTGTAGTGCAGGGCTTCCAGCAGGTTCTACTTTTTGTTTGAATAATACTGCAACCAAAGAATTATTTTAAAATAACCTTATATTTGGAAGCTGATTTTGCAAAAAATAAATAAAAATAATATTTTCTAGAGTGAAGTCAGTCTGGTAAGTCAGTGTTGTTAATTTCCTTGCCTGGTAGGCTGACCTGGCCCTTCTGTCAGTGGTATGTGGAGTGCGTCCCGATTGCCCTCCAGCTGAGTTCGGCACTGCCATCGTGGTCTTCCTCGCAGTGCGTTTGTATCAACAAAGCCTCCTCTCGCACGCGCCCGGAGTCCTGTCTGAGGACGCGTCAGTGCGGTGAGACGGGAGGCTCTCCTTGCAGCCCGGCTGCTGCCGCCCAGCGTTCAGCTGGAAGGCGTCACTGAGTGCTCTTCTGATTTACTCCGATGTGTGTGTGAGCATGCGGATGAGCTGCCTTTGACTCTCACAGGCTCCGTCACAGCTCACTGCTCCAGCGGTGCGTGGAGGGCTGTTGGCTTTTAAATTGTAGTCCTGCCCCCTCAGAACCAGAGGCGCGCGCTGCCCCGCCAGGAGGGACCAGACTGGCCTAGCAGGCGGGGCAAGGAGCGAGTTAGCATCTATGTAGGTTAATATTCACTTTACAAAGGTGAAGGGGGATGTTTCCTTAGGTGCTAGAAGATGCTCTTCATCTTTAAAGACGGGATTAAGGTGAGATTTGTTTCTCTTGAACACTTCAACATATTGAATTTCCCAGGAAAGTGACTAGCCATTATGAAAAAACACGGGAAGGAAAAGCATTGCCTCTATAATATATTATAGAAGAAATAACTTGAGTTTTAAGTACATGCAAATTACGCTCAGTGAATGTAGGTTTAAAATTAAAATGACGAGCAAACTTAATATAATTCGTTCTTATAAGTGTGTGACCTGGCGCCACATAGCTGCACTAGAAGATGAGACTTTGCAGCTGTTGTTCTGGGGTGCCATGCAGGATGCTGGCTCTCTGATCGCCATCCAGGTGCGAACAGCCGTGTGTTCTGGTGATGCACGGGCCAGTCTGCACCCCCGCTCTCAGAGGAGTATTGGCTTCTTCCTCACTCGCGGGGCTGCTTTCCCGTGCTAATCATGTGCTTATGGGGAGGAGGAGGTCTCTGTGAAAAAGAAGCCACACCAACTGCATCGCCAAGTTCCTCTCGAGTGCCTGTGGCCCCTGCGTGCTCCTGGCTGGGCTCCCCGCACACAGCACACTCCGCCCCCCGGGCATCGCTCTCCCCGTGGTCCGCAGCTGCTCTAATAGAAGAGGCTGTCCCAGCCAATCCAGAGCGGCCTCATATTAAATTCCGAGTGGTCTGTGCTCTGTCACGTGTCCAGCTGTCACTGTGGTCACTATTGTCTGGTAAACGTCCATTGAGAGTGTGAGGGCCAAGGGCCACCGGCTGCTGATGGAGACGGAGGATGCTGGGCAGCACGGGGCCTGGTGCCTTCAGATGGGGCGTCCCTGTGAGTCATCAGGCTGAGGAGATGGAAACCCATTCCAGGGAGGAAGGCAAGCACCAAATGCTTCCCCTGCGGACGTGGGAGCGGCTGGCCTCACAGCTGCCCATGCAGGAGGTGCTCAGGAGCCGTCCACTGTGAGAGTGTGGGTAAGAGAAAGGAAATCCAGCCCCAGCAGGCTCCACGCTACCCACAGCCACAGACCCCATTTTTCACATTCACGTGACTGTTGTTACCCTATATTGTTCCAATTGTTCCAATATGAGTTGTTAATCTTTATGTAGACCCAATTTTTAACATAATGATATGTTAAGCAAGTAGATTTTAAATAAACCACGTAGGAAAATGTATGCCCAGGAAATTCATGGACACAACCAGATTTTACTCTGGCAGGTGAACATCCTGAGGAGGTGTGGACGAGAGAGATCACACACCAAACCTCACCCGCTCAGGGGGCCTGCAGGGCCGACTTACACACTCAGAGACCTGCAGTAACGACAGAGGATGGTCTGGAAGG